CCACTGGTGTCTGCAGGGAGGAAGCCAGAAGCTCAGGCCCACTGTGGGTCTCTGAGGCGCAGGGCCGGGCCTGTCGCCCCCACCTCCACCCTGGGGCGGGGGGGGGGGTGGTCTCACATTTTTCACAGGTGGTCTCGTCTGAGCCATCGGGGCAGTCTGCGGTGTCGTCACACTCCAGGAAGCTGTCGATGCAGCAGCCATCCCTGCAGCGGAACTGGTTGGGCTGGCAGCTGCCGGAGCACACTGCACGGGGACACAAGAGCTCAGGCACAGAGCTCTTCCCAACAGGTGCCTTCCTGGCCCCTTCCACCAGGCCCAGCTTTCCCTGCAGGAAAGAAGCTGCGAGGGCCGGTGGGGGGCCTGTGGTTCTTGTGCACTGAGGGCAGGGGGCTGGGCAGAGGCAGCTGGTGGGGGCATGGTCTGGACAGGGCCGGAGACCTGGCAGAGTGGCGGGGATAGAGACAGGAGGAAAGCCCACCTGGATTGCTCCTTTCCATCGAGAGGCCTGGGGAGAGATGAGCCGAGTGAGCAGGGGCAGGGCAGGGAGACACCCACCGCCCACCTCCCAGGCTGGTGACGAGAGGCCACGCGCCCTGGGACCCCACCACGTGAGCCCCAAGGCTGCCCCTCAGAGGCCCACCTTGCACGTCCCGGCAAGCCAGCATGCACTCTTCCTCCCTCAGGTAGTTGTTCTTGTTCCCCAAGCAGCCCCCATAAATGAACCTCTTGCAGATCTGCTCGGTGGGGTCATAGTACCAGCGAGGGAAGGATCCTCGGCACCGCCCCACCTTGTTGGAGGCCAGGCAGTAGTCTGGAGGGAGGAGAGCGTGTGAGGGGGCTGGTGCGACCCATCCATGGGGGGAGCGGGTGCTCAGGGGCCTCTGGCCCAGCCTCCCCCCCCTCACCTTCTGTTTGCTTGGGGGACAGCACGGTGATTGTGACGTTGGCCGGACTCTCCGGCTGCGCCGAGTCAGCCAGGGTCAGCTGGAACAGGTAGCTGCCTTCCTTGAGTCCCCACAGCTCCACCTGGTCTGGATTGTTCCTCTACACACAGGACTGGTCATCAGGCGGATGACCAACCACCCCAGCTCCTCCCAGCCATCTGCCTACCCCCTGGGGAGAGGGAGAAGAGCATCTCTCTCCACCCATGTCACCTGCAGCCATTGTGCAGCATACGGCCCGGGGTTCCTGGGAGGCGGAGGGGACAAGCAATCAGGGAGCCAGCCCAGAGTCTCACCTCTATTCTGACATCTGTGGCCCCCTCCAGAAGGTGCCAGTCGGTGTTGCCCACATCCTTTAGTACCAGAGGTTCCTGGGGCTGTACCTTCAAGTCTATGCCCACCCAGGACCTGGGGATCTGGGACCCTGCGGGGGAAGGTGAGGTAAGGTCAGCTTCCTGTGAGTGGAAGCAGAGAAGAGGGGTGGTGGATTATTGGGCATACCCAGCCCCGCCTGGGGCTCAGCACCCTGCCTGGGCACAGGTAGGAGGGAACAACAAAATCACCATTTTGTTCCCCATTCAGAGACAACCACATACTTAGTGCTTGTTAGGCTGGTGTTCTACCATTGAGCTATGTCTCCAGTCTGGCTTTTTGTTAGCTTTTTTTTGTTTGTTTGTTTGTTTTTTCCAGTCCTGGGGCTTGATCTTGGCCTGGGTGCTATCCCTGAGTCTCTTTGTGCTCAAGGCAAGCCCTCTATCACTTGAGCCACAGTGCCACTTCCAGATTTTTCAAAGCACTTTATTAGAGATAAGAGTCTCACAGACTTTCCACCTTCCCAGCCCTAAGGAAATAATTTTGCATTCTACAATAAGCAAGTATTTGTGCTAAGAATTTATATAGGTTAAAGTAACAAGACCCTTAGAAGTCAAATGAGTGGGGCTGGGAAGGTGGCTCAGTGGTAGAGAGCTTGCCTTGCATACATGAGGCCCTGGGTTCAATTCCTTACCACCACATAAGCAACAAGAGTCAGCAGTGGCTCAAGTGGTAGAGCGCTAGCCTTGCATACATGAGGCCCTGGGTTCAATTCCTCACCACCACATAAGCAACAAGTCAGCAGTGGCTCAAGTGGTAGAGCGCTAGCCTTCAGCTGAAGAGCTGAGAGACAGCGCCCAGGCCTAGAGTTCAGGCCCCACAACCAATTTAAAAAAAGAAGTCAAATGAGGATGGCGGGAAAAGGGGGGAAAGTGGGAGAAAAAAAGAGGGAGAGGTAACACTGTTTCACAAGAAATACACTATGTACTCATTAACTTACTTATGTAACTGTAACCCCTTTGTACTTCACCTTTACAATAAAATTAATTTCAAAAAGTAGTCAAATGAAGAAATGGTTAGGTGCTAACACCTATAATCCTAGCTCCTCAGGAGGCTGACATCTGAGGATGTGAGACTTTTTTTTTTTGGTCAGTCGTGGGGCTTGAACTCTGTGCCTGGGTGCTGTCCCTCAGCTCTTCAGCTCAAGGCTAGCGCTCTACCACTTGAGCTACAGAGCCACTTCTGGCCTTTTCTGCTTATGTGGTGCTGAGGAATCAAACCCAGGGCCTCCTGCATGCAAGGCAAGCGCTCTACCACTGAGCCACCTTCCCAGCCCAGATGTGACTCTTATCTCCACTAAACTGGTAGATGCCTTGCATGCATGAGGCCCTAGGTTCGATTCCTTGGCACCACATAAGCAGAAAAAGCCAGAAGTGGCTCTGTGGCTCAAGTGGTAAGAGCGCTAGTCTTGAGCTGAAGAGCTAAGGGACAGCGCCCAAGCCGAGTTCAGGCTCCACCATCAGCAAAACAAAAACAAAAACCCTCAGGGGCAGTGTGCTGGCCCAGAGTTCAAGCCCAGGGACTGACAAACAAAAAAAGGAGGAAATAAGTGAAACTAAGTACCTCTTGGTGTGGCCTAGATTCCTCTGAGAGGCCTGTCAGAACCAAATCCTCAGAGTCCTTCCCCTCCCTGCCCCCAAGCCAACACAACAGGCCTGGGTACCCCTGGGTAAGTGACTAGCAATCAGGTACCTGTGGTCACCTTAGATTCTGCCTCAGGTTACAAGGGATCCCCAGGGAACCATGCCCTCCCAGGGCCTGACAGCCTGGTCTAGGCTTCCTCCAGGTAAGTTTGGGGTCAAGTGAGCACACACGCATAGTCCTGCCTGTAGTAGGATGAATGGTATCCCCATAAAGATGTCTCCTCAGGGTCTAGGAAGGTGGTTCAGTGGTAGAGCGCTTGCCTTGCATGCATGAGGCCCTGGGTTCAATTCCTCAGCACCACATAACCAAAAAGAAAAACGCCGGAAGTGGCGCTGTGGCTCAAGTGGTAGAGCGCTAGCCTTGAGCTGAAGAGCTGAGGGACAGTGCCCAGGCCCAGAGTTCAGGCCCCATGACT